TGATTTATACATCTGTTCTTAAAATGATTCCATATTCTTTTAAGTACTGCAGTGATAGCTTGGTTTCTGGAGTGATAGATTAATAAAAATTACTTTTATGTAACTTATGTACAAGGCATGCAGAAAGAAGATACTAATTAATGATTAATTAATGAATGAACAAAGCCATATGCTGATTGTGGTGGTGATAGTGAGCATTTTCTCTTCATGTCACCTATATAAAAGTGGAGGTACTGGCTGAATCTTACAAAAAGGCAGCCCTAGATGGAGACATCTGATGTTCTCAGGGTCACACAGAGTGTACGTGATGGAGTGAAGATTGGAATGTCACATCTCCCTGACTTTCAAAGTCAATTCTTTCTTCTATTACCCTACATGTCTCATCAGGCCATTCTCTGAGGAACACATAGCAATATGTGCTGATTCATTTTCTCTTTTGAAGCTATGTTATTCTTCAAATAAAATAGATTCTTAGTATTGTAGGAAGGATGAGGCTGCATTTTAATCTGCTGTGTATAACTTATGTTGAGAACAAAAAAAAAATGAGAAGCAGAACCTTTGGTAAAGTTGCCCAACTATTATTTATTTTAAAGAATAGCACATAGCCCACCACCTCTTAACCTCAGGCTTATATTATTTCCCCTAATTACTTCCAAATGTTCTTAAGTTTTCTGCTGTCTTCTCCTGGAGACAGAAACCTAATGCCAACAATGGGTACCAAGTCTTCCCTTTGGCCTTTGCTCTTTATGACCGGGTCACTGCCTTTGGCAATTACTAAATCATGGACAATTTCAGCTGTCACATACTCTTGGATTTGACTCTGACCCCTTTTTGGAATCTGAAATCTCTTGAACCAATCTGTCACTTTCCCATCTGGGCTTCCTTCCTGGTATTGCAGTGGAGAGGAATGTGAAAAAGACTTCAGACTGGTGGGGCAGAGGTTCCTGGCTACAGATTATTTACTCAGGCTTTGAAATAGTTCCAGTTTTTACCTAAGAGCAAGACAGTTAAATCTATCAGGTCGTTAGTTTTGTTATGGAATAGGAGTTTAGACTCCTCCTCCCTTGTCATTTAAAGAAGAATGAAGCACGGCCTCTATTGATTTATGATCTTGGAAAGAGAGGGCACAAAGTAAAAGCAGAATTGTATAATTCTGTGATGAAGTGGGTTTAGTTTTTATTTTTCTCACTCTTACAATGTGAACCTGCATCTACTCTCACTTTTCTGCGCTGAGAACTTTGAAGTCCCACCCACTATATTTTCCTGAGCTAGGAGCTAGGTCTCAAGGAGTGACTTCTGCACATAAAAAAGCTTTCCCTTCAAACCTCATGGATCAAGTCCATCCCTGTAGCATAATGCAGGAAGACTGATAAGTAAGAGCTTTTATTTATTTAGATCACAAGCAAATGACAGAAATTGTTGCATATGAAAAACACAACACTTCCTCGGAAAGAATTTACAAGTGAGGCTTTGCCTAATTTTTGCTGACCAGATCCTTTTTGTGGATTGACTTCTGTCTTGACCAGTCTTTGTGTGTATGAATCCTAGCAGCACGGGAGAGAAAGAGCAGAGAGCCATGCAGATGGGAATGGGATGGGGCAGTCAGGGAGGAGAGCACACTCACTAGAAAGGCCGCATGCCCTTACTTGCCAAACAGATTTTGGAGTATAGCCATCCATTAAATGCAATGATCACACTCTCTGTCATATCATCGAATCCAGGAGATTGTGATCACATCACTGAGCAGACTGTTTTCTTCCATTCTGAACACTTGGAGTCTAACCTTGAGAAAGGTTGAGAACTCTATATGGCACAGTGTGTCTGAAATACTGAATGTGTAGCTGAGAGGCAGATTGCAAGAATGACAGCCAGCTTAACTGCATTCAACTGCAGCTCTTTCCCTCCCTGCATTATCCGAGGTGGGTCTTCATTTTGGACTGCAGGTTTCCAAAAAGAAAAATGATGGGTTGAACTTATAGGTTCTGACATCCTTTCAAGGTCAGAACAAATATAGTGATCTTAACAAATACTTATTAGCTACAAAGCATCACATTTCCTTACACCAAAGAATCACAGATGAGCAATTGTTACTAAGCATGAAGTGGTGCAAATAGAAAGCCCATCCAGGGCTCATATTAGATTAGTCCTCCCAGCCATAGATCCTTATTTACATTTAAAAAGAAAGTGTGAGACCAACATCAAACTCACTATAGTCAGTGCCTCCTGTTTATAGTCTCCATCAGTCAGTTGAAGAAAATCCTGTCCTTACTTCAGACTTAATTGGTTTCTGGGCACTGTAGTTCCCAAGTGCCATGGTTTTCTTATTCAGCGTGAGCTCAGGTGCAATTTTCTGTGTATGCTTGAGGCTAACGAGACTGCTCTAGTTACCAAGAGTATCTTTGGTAGGAAACATTCCCCAAATATGTTCAAAGAGATGAATTGGGATTCTGAGAAATTTGACTTCCTTGAGATGTGCTTGAGAAGCATCAGATCTCTTAAGGGGGGAAAGCAAGAAAATTTTTACATATGAAAATTGATTATCTATATTCCTGGGATTTTTTTTTCTTTTAGTAATGGCTAAGTAGGTTTATATCATATTAACTGTTCTGAATATAACAAATATAAACTCCAAAATAAAAGCATGAGAGTAACTAGATGAATGTTTAAGAGTGAAAAAATACAGGAACATTTTGAAGAAAATCCATATTGGGAAAATGAAATAACGTGGTAATTTTCTCATGTGTGTGTGTGTGCGTGTGTGTGTGTGTGTGTGTGTGTGGCTTTTAGCCAGGTGGCAGGCTATTAGGCTGTGATATTCAGGTTGGCTAAAACTCCGATATAAAAGCTGCAATTGATATCTTTCCTGAAGACCAGCAAAGAGTTTAGTTCAACGATGGTTGTTAGAAAGAGAAAACTTTGAAGAATATTGGAAAAGAGAAAGCCAGAAAGGGGAGTCATAATAAATTCTGTGCATAACTCTATCTAACTATATGGCTGAACCTAGAACCATACACACAGAAAACATATCACGAGTAGTCTAGCCAAGGCTGAGCCAAAATCAACTGAGAATTGATTTAGTGTCACACAAGACAGTTTACTTTTTGAGGCCTCAGTAACTGCCTGCTTGAATAACTCACCATTTTTTCAGAGGACTATAGAAGAATCCAGAGTGCCTGTGATATAACATCACATGGTCCAGCATATAATGAAAAAAAAAGTTAATAGATGAAGAAAAAGAATAGTAACCCATTATTAAAGACAATCAACAAAGACTGACCCTCAAATGTCTCAAGTATCCAAGTTAACAGTCAGTAATCTCAAAGCAGTGGTTAAACTATGCTCAATAATATAGACATACTATACACATACTAAAGGAAAAGCCAAAATTACATCAGAGAAGGTAGAAAAACAACCAAATAAAAATTTTAGAATTAAAAGTAATATCTGAAATTGTACAAAGTTATATTCTTTTTGGGAAAAATGTTTGAAGAGGAAAAATACCTGTTTTATGTTTTGAGGGTCAAAAACATTTTTTAGTATACAGTACACTGGATCTTCAGCATTTAGTCATCCCACATAACTGAAGCTTTATATATTTTGATCAACACCTTCCCATGTCTACTACCTACCACCCTACCACTCCCTGTAACTATCAGTCTACTCCCTCTACTAGTTCAACTTTTTAGATTCTGCATATAGCTTAGATACTGCAGTTTTGTTTTCTTGTGCCTGACTTATTTCACTTACCACAGGACCCTCTGGGTTTTTCCCATCACTGATGACAGTATTTCTTTCTTCTTGAAGACTGAATAGTAGTCTACATGTTCCATTCATCCATATAGCCCATTGTCTTTATTCATTCATCTGTTGATAGGCTGATTGCATGTCTTGGTTATTGTAAATAATGTTCCAATGAACACTGGAGAGCAGAGTATCTTTTTGAGGTACTTTGAACATAAGTATATCTCAAAGATTTCATATGCTAATTCTATTTCTAATTTTTTGAGGAACTTCCATATCATTATCCATAGACGGTACTAATTTCCATTCCTACCAATAGCATAAAATGCTCTCTTTTAACACATTATTGTCAAGTCTTATTTCTAACCTTTTATAACAGCATTCCTAGCAAGTGTGAAGTGATATATCACTGAAATTTTGGCTGTATTTCTTTGATGAATAGTGATATTGAGCATTTTATTTAATATACATTATTGGCTTTGGATATATTTCTTCTCTTCTTCAATGCCTCCAATTCCTTCTTTTTGACAAATTCCTATTGAGGCCTCTGCTCACTTTAAAATTTGAGTTGTTTTCTTACTATTAAGTTGTTTGAATTTTTTATATATTTTGGATATTAATCCTTTATCAGACATATAGTTTACAGATATTTTCTCCTTTTTCATAGACTGTCTCTTTACTGTGTTGATCCTTTTTGTTTTGCCATTAGGAGGGATTTTAGATCGCTGCAATCCCATTTGTGTAATTTTGCTTTTGTGGCCTATACATTTTGGTGTCTTACTTTTAAAAAATCACTGTCCACATTAATGTGAAAAAATTTCCCCCTATGTTTTCATATAGTAATTTAATGATATTAGTGTTATGCTTAAGTCATTGGTCCATTTTAGTTGTTTTTGTGAACTATGTGAGATAATGGTAGAATGTCATTGTTTTGCATATGGATATTCAGTTTTCCTAAAGCCATTTACAGAGTAAACTGTGTCTCACCATTGTTATTCTTGGCAATTCCATCAAAGGTCATTTGACTATAAATATTTTTATTCATCTGTTTTAATGCTGGAATCAATCTGTTTTGATTACTATAGTTTTGTATCTTTTGAAATGAAGTAGTATATCACTTCTGTTTTGTTCTTGCTTAAGATTGCTTTAGGTATTCATTTGTGGTTCCGCATGAACATTAAGGTTGTTCTTGTAATTCTGTGAAAAATCTTCTGAAATTTTGAAAGGAATTGTATGGGAGCTATAGAATTCTTTAATTAGTACTCACTTCGGCAGCACATGCACTAAAATTGTAATGATACAGAGATTAGCATGGCCCCTGCAGAAGGATGACAAGCAAATTCATGAAGCTTTCCATATTTTTAGAATTTGATACACAGATAAGTGACGCTTATAGGACTCCAACTAGCCATGATCATAAAAAATCTACACTTAGACATGTAATAATCAAGATCCCAGAAACCCAACAGAAGAACAAAATACAAGCAGTTAGAGAAAAGAAACAAATCACATGCAAAGAAAAGCCCAACAGACTCACAGCAGACTTTTCACTCAAATCCTCAAGTCAAGGAGAACCTGTAGTGAAGTATTTCAAGCCCTAAAAGAAAACAACTTCCAACCTAGACTGATGTATCCTGCAAAACTATCTTTCAAAATTGATGGGAAATAAGATATTTCCATAGCAAAGAACACCTGAGAAACTTCATAAATACCAAACCAGCACTTCAGAGAATTCTAAATAATATCCTAGAAAAAGACAATGAAGATCACAACTTCATAAGGCCCAACAGAGCAAACCCATCAGGCAAGACAAGAAATTAAAGGGAGGGGGGGAAAATTAAAAAGAACGAACAACAGGAAAATAACATGATAATGATAAATCAATACATATCCATTATAAACATCAATGTTAATGGCCTCAATTCACCAATTAAAAGAAATAAGGCTGGCAGAATGGATTAAGAAGCAAAATCCAACAATATGCTGCATACAAGATATGTACCTAGTTCAAAAAGGAAGTTATAGACTGAATGTAAAAGGATGGAAAACAATTCTCCATGCAACAGGAACCTGGAAAAAGCAGGGGTAGCTATCTTATGAGCCGACAAAGTAATTTTAAACCAAAACTAATTATGAGAGACAAAGAAGGTCACTACATCCTTGTAAGGGGGCCAGTCCAAGGGGAAGAGATAACAATCATAAATATATATGCACCAAATACTAATGCCCCCAACTACATGAAACAAATATTAATGAATATGAAAAACCAAATTAGCACTAATACAATTGTAATGGGGGACCTCAATACCCCACTGTCACAAACAGAGAGATCATCTAGACAAGAAATTAAGTAATGAAATACTAGAACTGAACCAAGCTTTTGAACAAATGGACTTAATAGACATCTACAAAATGTCCCACCCCACAAAATCAGAATATACATTCTTTTCAGCTGCACAAACGTTATTCTCCAAAACAGACCACATACTAGCTCATACATGTGTTTAAGTAAATGCAAAGGATTAGAAATTATCCCACGTATATTATCAGACCATAGTGCAATTAAATTGGAGATCAATAGCAAAAGAAACCACAAGAACTTCAGAAATATATGGAAATTGAACAACACTCTTCTGAACAACCAATGGGTCACAGAGGAAATTAAGAAAGAAATTAGACAGCTTTTGCAAATCATTGATAATGCCAACACAACATACAGGAATCTATGGGACACAATGAAAGCAGTTCTATGAGGGAAATTTATAACAGTGAATGCCTACACTAGAAAAACAGAGAAAATGCAAATAAATAACCTAATGCTAAATCTTAAGGTTTTAGAAAAAAAATAGCAAGTCAAGCCCAAACCTCTTACAAGGAAGGAAAATATAAAGATCAGAGCAGAGGGGCTGGAATTTTGGCTCAGTAGTTCTGCCACCTGCCTTACAAGCTCAAGGGCCTGAGTTCAAAAAGCAACAACTATAACAACAAGAACAAAAATAAAATAAAGATCAGAGCAGAAATCATTGCAATGGAGACTAAGAGAACGATACAAAAAAAAAATCAACAAATCAGAGTTGATTTTTGGAAAGAAAAAATAAATCAAATCAATAAGTCCTTACTTAGTTAACCTTATCAAAAAAAAGGAAAGAAAATGCTTAACTCCATACAATTAGGAATGAAAAAGGTGAAGTCACAACAGATCCAGGAGAAATCCAGAGGATCATCAATACCTACTTCAAGAATCTGTACTGTAATAAAATGGAATATGCAGAAGAAATACAGATTTCTAGATACATATGAATTACCAAAGTTGAATGAGAAGATATAAAAATTCTAAACACCCCAATTACAATCAGTGAAATTGAAAATGTAATTAAAAATTTACCAACAAAGAAAAGCCCAGGTCCTGATGGCTTCACTGCTGAATTCTACAAAACATTTAGAGAAGAACTATTCCCACTACTTTTAAAACTCTTCATTGAAATTGAAAAGGAAGCAATACTTTCAAATTCATTCCTGAAAGCAAGTATTAGTTTGATTCCAAAATCAGGGAAAGACCAAACCGAGAAAGAGAACTACAGGCCAATATCCCTAATGATAATAGATGCAAAAATCCTCAATGAGATACTGGCAAACAGAAAACAGAAGATCAACAAGAAGATCATACAACCTGACCCAGTCAGATTTATCCAAGGGATGCAAAGATGGTTCAACATACATAAATCAATAAATGTAATACACTACATTACCAGAATCAAAGACAAAAACCATATGATCATCTCAGTAGATGCAGAAAAAGCATTTGACAAAATTCAGCACCCATTCATGATAAATGAATGATAAATGAATGCAGAAAATTCAAATAGATGGTCTTTATCTAAACTTGATAAAGGCTTTCTATGAAAATCCAACAGCCAATATCATACTAAATGGTCAAAAACTGAAAACCTTCACACTAAAATCAGGAACAAGACAAAGATATCCACTATCACCACTCCTCTTCAATATAGTTTTGGAAACATTAGCCACAGCAATTAAACAAGAGGAAGAAATAAAATGAATAAAGATAGGAAAGGAAGAAGTTAAATTGTCATTATTTGCTGATGACACGATACTATACTTAGAAGACAAAAAACTCCACCAAAAGATTTAAGTTGACAGATTCAGTAGAGTAGCTGGATACAATGTTAACATTTAAAAATCAATAGCTTTCTTATACACAAATAACAGACTCACTGAGAGAGAAATTAGGGAAACAATTTCTTTCACAATAACATCCAAAAATATGAAGTATCCAGGAACCAAACTAATGAAGGAAGCAAAAGACCTCCACATTGAGAACTACAACACTCTGAAAAAAGAGACCAAAGTGGAGAAAAGAAAATAGGAAGACATCCATTTTTCCTGGGTAAGAAGAACCAAAATAGTGAAAATGGCCATACTTCCAAAACTGCTATAGAGACTCATTGCAATCCTGATTAAAATCCCAACAGTATATTTCACTGAACATGAGATAACAATCCCCAAAATTCATTTGGAATCAGAAGAGACCTGGAATAGCAAAAGCCATTCTAGATAACAGGAAAATGGCAGGGGTACCACAATCCCCAACTTGAAACTATACTACAAAGCCACTGTGATAAAAAAAGCATAATACTAGCAAAGAAACAGACATAAGAATCAGTGGAGTAGATTAGAAGATGCTGAAACAACTCCAGACATGCTTAGGTACCTCATATTTGACAAAGGAGCTAACTATCCTCACTGGAGGAAAGATAGTCTCTTTAATAAATGGTGTTGGAAAAACAGGGTCTCAACCTGCCAAAGATTAAAAATAGACTCCTATCTTTCACTGTGCACTAAACTAAAATCCACGTGGATTAAAGATCTAAATATTAAAACAGAAATACTAAATTTGAAGATAAGTTAGGTAGAACTCTTGAAGACACTGGCATAGGAAAAGACTTTATGAACAAATCTTCAGTAGCACGGGACTAGCACCAAGAATCAACAACTGGGATCTCATTTCTTTAAAAAGCTTCTGCACTGCAAGAACACCAACAGAGATAAGAGACAACCTATCATGTGGGAAAGAATTTTTATTAGCTGTTCATCAGACAAAGGTCTGCTATCCAGAATATATAAAGAACTCAAAAAAAATTAGACACCCAAAATTAAAAAACCCAATTCAAAAATGGGCATCTGAAATGAACTGACATTTTTCAAACAAAGAAGTAAAAGCAGCAAATAAACATGTGAAAAAATGTTCAACTTCAGTGGTCATCCAAGAGGTGCAGATGAAAATAACCCTGAGATTCCACCTCAACCCAGAAAGAATGGCTGCTATCAAGAAATCAACCTAACAAATGTTGGTGGGGTTGTGGGGAGAAAGGAACCCTTCTCCATTGTTGGGAGGAGTGCAGACTGGTGTAACTACTGCAGAAATTAATTTGGAGATACCTCAAACAACTAGAATTAGAAGTCCCATTTGACCCAGCTATTCCCCTTCTGGGTATCTTCCCAAAAGAATTAAAAGAATTATACTACAGTGATATATGCTCACCCATGTTTATAGTGACACAGTTTGAAATAGCTAAAGCTTGGAAACAGCCTAATTGCCTATCAACTAGACTCTGGATAAAGAAGATGTGGTTTTCTTTGTATAATATGGAGAACTACTCAGCCATAAAGAATGAGAAACTAGAGATATTTATAGCTAAGTGGATGCACGTTGAGGACATACTCTTAAGTGAAATTAATAGGACATACATGTGTAAATCTGAATAGTTTCCCTGGTGTGATAAGCTAAAAGTGTAAATAAGAATCAAAATGTATAACTGATATTGTATAATAGGAAAAATGGTCTAACAGTGTAGGGGAAGTGGGAGGGGTAAGGAAAAGGTACTAAGGGAATAGAAAAACAATAAGAGAAATGGAGAAAATGGAAACAAAGTCTTTGTAAATAGGGAAAGGTGGAGGGAGTAAAGGGAGGTCAGGGGCATGGAGAAAAAATAGGAATCAAGATACTTCAGGTAAAAGTACAAGATACCAATGATGAATGTAAGGGTACTATATACCTAAAATGTACCAATAAAGAAAAAAAATTCTTCAGTCACTATAGGCGTGTTGACAATATTAATTCTTCTAATTCATGAATATAAAGTATCTTTATATGTTCCATTTCTTTCATCAGATTTTTACTTTTCAGTGTATAAATCTTTTACCAACTTGCTTAAATTTATTCCTTAGTATTTTCAGTGCTGTTGTAAATTGGATTATTGTCTTAATTTCCATTTGGGATACATTATATACTAATCTGTATTGTTAAATACAAATACAATTGATTTTTGTATATTGGCCTTA